TTATTACAAATGGCAGAAACCTCTTAAATGCAGCTATAAACTTGCTAATCGTGTCCAGATTCATTATAACTCCAAATGAAAAAAGAATTGTGACGTAATTCAATTAGTTTTACCTTACATTTTGCAACCAACATTACAATTTTTCGAGCATTTCAAATATCGTTACGATATTTTGAATCGTTGTTCAATCAAAACCCAAGTGCTATATTTTCTTGTTTTTGTGCAAATAGAACAACATTCCTAACCATTCCATAAACTAATGGAACAATGTTAAATCGATTTTTGTTCGTTATTTCTCCGTTTTTTGTAATTCTTTCGCGCCAAAATGGGTACAACTGATCTTCCGTTTCATATCATAATAGTTATCCTCTCGATGCTTCCAGCCGAAGCCTTAGCCAAGTTCTAGTGCGTCTGCAAAGCCTGGAAGAACATAATCCGCGAACCGCAGTTCGTAAAAGAACATTTTTAAATCCAGGCTTCTAAAGGTAAAGACTATCTTCTTTATGTGTCATTGGACCGTACAAACAAGCTTGCTTTTACATTACTTTGTGATGAAACGTTCGATCAGGCCCTAGAATTCGAAATTCCTTCGGAGTTTCGGGATATGAGCTTCATCATAATCGGTTCTTGTAATGGCATGTTGTGCTTCACTGATGCGAATAGCTTTGGTAGCACTGTGTATTTGTGTTACCCCTCCATTAGAAAATACAAGACCGTAATTAACCCAATATTTAATGGTATTGTTGATTTTGCTTTACGGTTTGGGTACTATGAACAAATGAACGATTAGTTCATTATTAGGATTGCTATCCTAAGTGATGAGGAAGATGAGGCAACTAGTAAAATCGAGGTTTATTCAATGGTCGCAAGTTAGTGGAAGAATCTAGGAGTGGATCACTTTCCATGGGAAAGGATTGAATTAAAATCGGAAGTTGTGATGCGTGATTTGGTTCATTGGAAGACGGATTACAGAGATGGGGAGGAGCGTATTTCGGTAATTTTGGCATACCATATGGGAGAAGAGGTATTCCGACATATAGGAATACCTAATTATAAAGGCGATGGGGAAAACTTGGTAGAACACATTGGAGTGTATAAAGGGAATCTTTCTATGTTTGTATTTCATCTATCGGATCACTATTCTTGGCACAAAAACTGCCACTTGTGGGTTATGAACGAGTACGGAGTGGTGAGTTCTTGGACGAAACTATAAACCATAGTAATAGATGCTGGAGTCGTTACTCCGATTATGTTTACTAATGACGACAAGATTGTATTTGAAAATGGTGAGTGTGATTTGACCGTATGCGAGCAACACTATTTCCTACCTTGGAGTTGTAGATGAAGGTTACCTTAATTTCGTGACCTATAACGGTAGCCTTGTTATGTTGGAGGACTTAAAATTTGCATTTGATCAGTTTGTTATCGTAAGACTTTCTTTTTTCTTCGTGTGTTTAGTAACGGATTATCGTTGTTTGTAATTGTATGATGTTAGAGGATTGTATATGCTCGTTATTTTCCTTTTAAGGTGGGAGTTTGTTGTTTTGTTTAGTTTTGAATTATCGTGATTTGTATTTTGTATGGTATTTGAGAATTTCTTGTACGCTTAACTGTTGTTGCGCACATTTGTACACTTAACATTTTTTGCACATAGATAAAGCCTAGCAACTTTAATGCACTAAACACACACAACATGAGCATATTTCTAATGAGCATAGTTGATACTCCGCATCGCAAAACGGGTGCTCCATAGTGCACATGAGATGAACAAAAGGACGCAATTAATGCACTAAACACACACAACACGAGCATATTTCTAATGAACGACTGGTGAGACTCACCTAATAAATTATCTCCAAAATCTCTAGGCATATTACTCATTCTCCCGTATTCTAAGTTATTTAGTTGTTATTTATTACCTTTAGTGGCCATTTATATAACCAAGATGTTAACAATGCTTTTAATACATGATTTCTATATAAAAATTGGTAATGAAAAATATTTGAACTGTAGAGACTCACAATTTTCTCGGCATGTGTATATATTGCCTAGAACAAGCTCTTTATGATTTTTGCTTCTTGATTATTACACATGATTTTACTTGCATTCCTGCGAATTCTTTTTCTTTGTCGCACTACTCACTTGAAACAGTTTACCTCATTTTTATGTGAATGTAAAAGATATGGTGATTAATAGAGCATTTTCAACGGTTTTGTCTTGACCTAGAATTCATTTTTCATGCACAACTACGTTGAAAATTTTCATCTCCAAGAACATAATGTTAAACTAAACAACTTGATAAATTCTATCTTTCACTTCTCAAATTTGTGATGCCACTTATAAAATTTAACAAACTTTTTATAATATTATATAAAATTATGTTGTACTCTCTATTTATTATTAAAAATATTTTTTATTATTGGGTGGGGAAGGTGTGGTTGGTTAAATAAATTTAAAAATTTGTGGGTTATTTCTTTCTTCTTTTGTGCAAGTTTTTTAGCACCAACATGAATCGAACTGAACTTCAATTTGAGCACAAGGTCAACACAGTGGAGGTGCTCCAAAGGTGGTCAAGAAAGATGCTACAAGCCATAGTACGACACTTGGATTGTGGGACACCCGATTGTGTGGAGCTGGGACCTTTACCGGCACCGATTCTTGAGCCGTACCAGAGCTTTATGACGACGAGGAGTGTAAGAGAGATGGAGAGGAGCACCCCAATCACGTTGACTCCTATTAGTCAGGTGCTTTCTATCCTTAAATTTTTCTCTAATTTTGTTGAGGGCAACGAAAATTTTAAGTTTGGGGGTGAAAAATTATTTATTTTATTTGTCATTTATTTGCGTTTAGTTTGCATGCATTAGCTTTTATTTTCTTTTAGTTTTTTTTATTCCTTTAAAAAAAATGTTGCTGAAGTCCACTGCATCGGTGAGTTGTAATGATGAGAGATGACCAATGTTTAATGATGAGATTGCTTGTTTTATTGTGATGAGGACTAGATGTTTGGTTAGCTTTCGTTTCTACGGAACTTATAAGCGAATTATTGCTAGGAATCACAATTTGTGCACTACTTTTGTTGAACGCTTTGTATTTTAAATTTGGAATTAATTTATGATAGATCATGCTATGTTTGGTTTTAAATTATCTCAATATGGCATTTTTGTAATTTCAAAACTTAGACCAAATTGGTTTAATGTCAAATATCTGACAACTAACTGCGAGGGCCACATTGAGATAATTTTTCAAGTCTAGGGAGGCAAATCGAAACAATCGTGAGTAGAAGGAGGTAAAGTGATACCGAACCAAAGTACATGGGGGGAAAAGTGGAATTTGCCCTTTTTTTTTTCGGCGGCGGGTCATCGGAGCTCCAGTTAGCTGACTCTGCATTAGTTAACTTTAATTAGTTGACATTCATTTTTTTTCCGGCGGCGGGTCGTCGGAGCTCTGGTTAGCTGACTCAACATTTGTTTAATATAATTCTTATCAATTCTATCCAGTATTCTCTAACTTTCTTAATATCACACATTCACACCGAATTTAAATAAATATATCACATTAACCCCCAATTTTTTTTTTTTCAGAAAATAATATTTTTTTCTGAATTTTTTTTTTCCGGCCAGATTCCGGCGTTGACTTCTTTTTATTTTTTTTAAACTTTTTTTTCCTAAAATTTTTTCCGGCCGGTCAACCACTGTTGACCACCGGTCTCCGGCGTTGACTTTTTTTTTCGAATTTTTTTTGTTAGAAAAAAATATTTTAATTAATATTACTATCTTGACTACTAAATTACTGTCTCAGACAGTAATATTACTGTTTGAGACAGTAATATTATGAATATTATTTTCGCGAACAGTAATATTATTGTCTAAGACAGCTAAATTACTGTCGGAGACAGTAATTTAGCAGCCAAGAAAATAATATTAATTAAAATAATTGTTTTTAAGAAAAAAAAATTAAAAAAAAAAGTCAATTAACAGTTAAATTACTGTCTCCGACAGTTAAATAACTGATGGAGACAGTAATTTAGCAACAAATACAGTGATATTAATTAAAAATATTTTTCTTAAGAATAAAAAAGTCAATTAACAATTAAATTACTGTATCTGACAGTTAAATAACTGTTGGAGACAGTAATTTAGCAACGAATACAATAATATTAATTAAAATATTTAAAAAAAAAAAAGTCAATTAACAGTTAAATTACTGTCTCCGACTGTTAAATAACTGTTGGAGACAGTAACTTAGCAGCGAATGCAGTAATATTAATTAAAAATATTTTTAAAGAAAAAAAAAGTCAATTAACAGTTAAATTACTGTCTCCGACAGATAAATAACTGATGGAGACAGTAATTTAGCAGCAAAGACAGTAATATTAATTAAAATATTTTTTTTAAGAAAAAACAAAATTAGAAAAAAAAAAAAAAAAAAAGTTAACGCCGGAGATCCGGTGGTCAACGGCAGTTGACCTACCGAAAAAAAAAAGTTTTTTTAAAAAAGAAAAGTCAACGCCGGCGACCGGTGGTCTCCGATGGTGGCAGGTCAAAATTGGGGTCAAAATTGATTTTTTAGTGAAATTGAGTTAATTGAGGGGTGTAAATCATGAAATTTGAGTTGAATTGGATTTCAATGAATTGGGGGTAATTTTGGTATATATAAAATAATTTTCCTTATTTGCAAATAAGTTTGAATGAATTGGATTTATTTGAAAGACAAAAAAAGTTGGATGTCCCTCTTTTAATTAAGTGCCCTTTTCATGGGCGTATTTAGTGGCCTTATTTTAATTGTGAAATATGAAATTAGACTAGTTAGGAAATTATTATTTTATTCCATTTGTCATTAGTTGTACACTTGTACATACCAAACATGGGAATGACAATATCCCAGCCCTAAATATCTTCTTAGCAAACGAAAAAAAAAAAAGATTTTAGGAATAAAAATTTCAAATTTTAAATATATAAAATAAAATTTGATTAAAATAAAGATATGAATGGGTATATTTAAAGGAAGAAATATTTAAAAAAGAAGAAATGGAATGTAGAATATGCAGTTAGCGTGAAAATGGGCCAACAATCCCCATCAACTCAATCTAAATAAACTCCATTTTAGGGGAACAATTTGTCTACCTCTCCGCCGCCGTTCTTTGCCTCAGTTCCCTTCGCCGCCGCCGCTGCTCTGTTGTAATCTCTCTCTCTCTCTCTCTCTCTCTCTCTCTCTCTCTCTCTTAATCTCTCTCTCTAGTTAAGTTTTTTGCTTAAAAAAAATAAATGATTTGGTACTATTCAGTCAGTGATTGATTCATTCTCTGGGTTGACATATTTGCTTTGTCAGTAGGTCATATGTTCTTCAATGGTGGAATTTAAAACAACCACCTATTCAATATCAATATAATTAATCCCCCTTTATTAAATTAGAAGATACTTTTTTCTCCAATCTGATTTGAAGTTAATACAACTTAATTCTCACACCATTGTTTTACAAATGCACAATTTTGTCTCTAATAATTAATCATTTATTTTCTTCCCTTTTCTTTTATAAATAATGACTGAGCAAATAAGTATATACTTATAGAGATTTAAGATATATATATAATTAAGCCTTGGTGATTATTATTATTAATGTGACTTGGAATGAATTTGTGTGTGCAGATATCGAAAAAGGAGGCAATGAGTTCGAGTGGTGTTGATGGAAAAGTTGTGCGCAAAAAATTGAATAAAGTAGTGCTGGCCTATAGTGGCGGTTTAGATACTTCTGTTATTGTACCGTGGCTTCGGTATGTATGTTTATTCATCTCTCATATTCTAATGGACGATTGATTCATCATCCTTTCGTCTTTCATACTTCAACGGATTCATCTCTAGTGTTTGTTGATTCACCGATTTTTTCTTGCGTTGTTTTGTCAAAATACTATATAGAAAAGCGACTTTTGATTCTCTTGTTATGCATTCATGTCTACACTTACCTTTTTTTTTTTTCTTCTTTTCGTTTTCTTTTCCGGTTGATGATCTTCTTCCATCATGTAATTATATGTAGTAGCTCAAGTTCTGGAAAAGCCTAAGATTGTATGTAGAGAAAGATAAGATTTCTGTTGTCATTTGTTTAGTTTTTCATTTGTGTGCTGTTTGGTTGATTGCAGGGAGAACTATGGATGCGAGGTTGTTTGCTTCACTGCAGATGTTGGTCAAGTACGTTAAAATATATATATATGTCAACAGTAATTGAGATTGGGAGTATTGCAGGACGTTCTTTTTGGTTTTCGAAATTTGAATAAATATATAGGTACAAAAAGAATTTGTGGTTAAACGCAAAGTGTCTGATGCAAATACAAAACTACTGCAGGGCGTACAAGAATTGGAAGGTTTGGAAGAAAAGGCGAAGGCTAGTGGAGCATGTCAATTAGTGGTAAAAGATCTCAAGGAGGAATTTGTCAGAGATTTTATATTTCCGTGTTTGCGTGCTGGTGCTATTTATGAGCGCAAGTACTTGCTCGGGACATCCATGGCTCGTCCTGTTATTGCAAAGGTCTTTTATTAAATTAATATTAAATTATTATAAAATTGTTTCCACGGCTTTTCTCATACATAATAAAAATGTATTTTATGCATCGAAAAATTTAGGCGATGGTTGATGTTGCGAAAGAGGTTGGAGCTGATGCAGTTTCACACGGATGTACTGGGAAAGGAAATGATCAGGCATGCATGCTTCATAACTTCGATTCCCGTATTTGTTATTAATTTTTAATATTCTTTTTTTTTATTATTGCAGGTCCGTTTTGAGCTCACCTTTTTCGCTCTGAATCCTGAACTAAGTGTTGTTGTGCCTTGGAGAGAATGGGAAATAACCGGAAGAGAAGATGCAATTGAATATGCTATAAAGCATAACGTGCCTGTTCCCGTCACCAAGAAATCCATCTATAGCAGAGATAGGAATCTGTGGCATCTCAGTCACGAGGTAATTAATTAATTAATTAATTAATTAGTTTCCTAACAAAAGTTGCTTATACGCATCACCGCTCGTAAAAAAATTTTAAGGGGCTAATTGTAATATTAATATTAAAAAGGGGGACATCTTGGAGGACCCAGCAGTTGAACCAAATGAGGACATGTACATGATGAGTGTTTCCCCTGAAAACGCACCCGATCAACCCGAGTATATTTCATTTAGTAATTCCTTTTCAATTTCATGCATATAATATAATATTTTATTTTATGTTTTCTCTTTCAATCAATCCCACATCTCTTCAGGTACCTGAAAATCGGTATAGTTTCGGGTCTGCCAGTTTCAATAAACGGAAAGGAATATTCTCCAGCATCTCTACTCTCCGAGCTTAACGAGATTGGAGGGAGGCACGGTATTGGCAGAGTGGACATGGTCGAAAATCGGCTCGTCGGAATGAAGAGCCGCGGTGTGTACGAAACACCAGGTGGCACCATCATATTCACTGCTGCACGTGAGCTCGAGTCTCTGACACTTGATCGTGAAACCATACAGATTAAGGATTCTCTTGCTCTCAAATACGCCGAGTTAGTGTACGCTGGCCGTTGGTTCGATCCGCTTCGGGAGTCGATGGATGCATTTATGAAGGAAATAACGAAAACTACAACTGGAACGGTGACGCTCAAACTCTACAAAGGGACTGTGAGTGTAACAGGTAGGGAAAGTCCCAACAGTCTATATCGGCAAGACATTTCCTCTTTCGAAAGTGGTGATATCTATAATCAAGCAGATGCTGCTGGTTTTATCCGCCTCTATGGATTGCCGATGCGCGTCCGTGCTATGCTTGACAAAGGCCTCTGAGATTTTGTTACTCGTCATTTTTATTCTATTCTAAGATTTTGTTTTGAACTTCAATACTTTTCTTTCGTTTCCCGTGGGTTGAACCTTTTTCAAGGAAATATAGAATAATGGGAACATTTAAATAAGTTTGATTCTTAATTGGATCATAAAAGCTCACTTGTCTAACATCTTTTCCTTCTCTTCTGGATTGAACATCAATTGCAACGATTCGATAGATGGCTCATTGGAATGGATGTGGATCAACAACACCGCGCTAGATGGCTCATCCAGAAAAACAAAAAATGGATTTTTCACGTGCTGGCAATTTTTTATTTATTATTTTTATACTGCTCCTCTAGACTAGAAGAAATTTATTAGGCCTCGTTTGGTTGGGGAAATTAGCCATGATTAACTAAATAATAGGGCTTTGTTTGATGTTTGGTATCCCCAATAACTTGCCGGGGCAACCGGCAAATATTATATTATCATGGCTTATCTTGCCTTCTAGGCATGTTTTTTTATTGGATCATCGAAGGTTCAATAATATAATTGGATTTCATTAGATTATTTAATCTTGTATTGGCTAATCTTATTTTGGCAACCAAACGAGGCCTTAGAATATAAAATAGCGATCAATAAGATTACACTTAAGTGGTATTTGCAAAAGCTTTCAAAAAAAACAGAATGTGGTGATCATGAGGCCTAACAACTTATTTTAAGAGAAGTTGTAAACTTACAAGAATTAATGGCAAACTTCTGAAACTAAGGCCCCGTTTGGTTGTCATTTGTCAAGATAAGCCATGATTAACTAAATAGTTTGACTTAATTTGATGTTTGGTATCCTCAATAAATTGCCAGGTCGACTCGCCAAAATTATATAATTATGGCTTATCTTGACTTATCTTACCTTCAAATGAGTTTTTTTTGTTGGACGTTTCAAGCTCCGATAAAATAATTAGGTCACATTAGGTTATTTAATCTTATCTTGGCTAATCTTATCTTGCCAACCAAACGTGGCCTAAGTATTTTAATAGGAATATGACCGTACGTTTATAAATATTGATAATGAACTTCTGAAACTTTTGATCATGGAGTATTAACTAAACAAAATATATATATGAGATTTTTTGTTTTTTTAAAAGTGAAAAACGGCAAACTTCTGTGAACTTATATAAACCGAGTACTGAATAGTGACAACGAATTGAACTTCTATAATTAGCTTATAATCAACAGCAAATTTTTAAAACTGGGTGATATAAATGAATAAAAATTTGACTGAACATGCATCCATTTTTACCGATTAACATACACATCCACATTGTTGTCATACACTTATAACTAATAGAAGAAAAAGGGTAAATTACGGCAACTCCTAAGGTAAGATAAAATTATGAAAAAAACCCTTCATGTTTAGATAATTACAATCAATTTCAATTATGAATGTTCTCTCACGGTGTCAACTTTAGTGGAATCGTCTACATTATGTGGAATATTCTCCAGTTTGTACACGTTTTACTCCATTCGAGCTCTACATTTTGAAATAAGATGATCATAAGATGTGTCTCTTGACTTGTAAATATCAGATTGTGGTGCATTAAAAACTGTATTTTTGCACATAATGAGTACAAACTAGAGAACATTCCACGAAATCTAGAAGATTATGTTGAATTTGACACCATAAGTGTGGACGTGTAAGAATACTAATGAGTGGTTGATAAGCCACGTCGTAGCATGCGAACCATCCGACCTAACCGACGCTACTTGGACTAGTCAGGAGAAGAGTCGTGGCTTAGGGGTCCTTATTAATAGCTTCCTTATTATTATAATTCCTAGTTATTATATTTTTATAGTATTTTAGTTAAGTTAGTCTTCTTTAATTATTAGGATTAGAATTATTCCTTGAGCATTAGTTTACGTAGCTTTAGGATTGTCTTTCTTTTTTTTCTATATATTTCAACCAACGTGATAAACAGAGGCATGTTGAATAAATAAAGTTTTCTCTAGTTTTTCTTGCAATTCTTGCGTAGAAAATCTGTCGGTACCAAAGCGATCGCATCAGTGGTTAAGTGTTTATTTCTAAATGTTGGGGGTGTTTGCAAATTTACTGGAAACTGGAAAGTAGACTTAAATAGGAAAGGCAAGGTCATCGGTGTTTAACAAATTATAACTTAAAAGTTGTTTATTTTAAGAGAATCAAAAGCAAAAGTTTGTTTTGCAAACACCTAAAAATAGATTATGAGAAAAAAACTCATAATCTATTTGTAAAAGTTTTTGCAAACACCACCTAAAACAACTTATTTTAAGAGAAGTAGTAGCAAAAGTTGATAATACAAACACTTCAAATGTGATTCTGATCCAAAAAAAGCTCATAATTACTTTTCAAAAGCTTTTACAAACCACCCTCTTAATCATCTGTAAGCACCCTGTGACCAATACTATAGCATGTATAGACATCGACGCAAGCTTGGTCAACCAGTTCGTTATCAAGAACCCTCGATTCCCAGTCACCCTTTTTATTACGATTTTCAATCACGCGCTTCGGAAATCCGACAATCCCATTTGCAAGAGATCTGAGAGTAGGCCTTCCTTTATAGCTAAGAGGAAACCATCTCTTTGCCAGGAAATGCACGTCGACTTTTTGCTTCACAATAATTTCATATTCATCCGATAGTTTACGAGAATTCTCCAGAATTCGAACACCGACGAATGTAGTACGAGAGTCGTCGCAGAGAAAGTCTCTAATGGACTGTGGTATATAGTCCATGTGCAGCAATTGAAGCACTAGGCATTTGGTGCCTACACATAGCTGCATCAATGCAATTTTGTTGCTCATCGACACGATTGGATGACGGATAAATTTAAAGTCAATTCCAACAATTCTATTTAGTACTCCATGTTGATTCGACCAGTTTATGATGCTGCTTTGAATCCAGTGTTCAGCCGTGGAGGCCTCGTTTGTAACCGTAGTATCAATGGTTTCGCCGTAGAATTCGACCAAATGGTGACTTGTTTTCATTTTTTCGTTCGCTTTATTTCTTTGTTAATAGTCTCTCAATCTCAATAGAATATAAATATGAATGGTTTATTATATATATTGTGAAGATGCATGTATATATGTGGCCGTCCATCTTCTGACTCTATAAATTCATTCTTTGAATTTTGGTCACCTTTTGAGCGAATGCATTGTTTCTTTACTAGAACAACTCAGTATTTTATTTGTTTTATTTTAATAATAACTGGCTTTGTATTTTGAACACAATCTATTCAAACGTCTCAAATCATATTAGAAATTACTTCATCTGTTCTACAATAACTGTCTCTTTTTAAAATTATTTTTGTTCCATATTATCTGTCACTTTACATTTCCAACACTGCATTAATTGTGTAATTATCAATTTTACCTTTATTAACTATATCCAACACTCTCTCACATTAATTATTGGCAAGGGCATTTTAGTATAAGAACATATATTTTTCTAAAATTAAGCAACATTTATTGAGATCCTTAATCCTTGTGCACAAGCTAAAAACGACAATTATTAAGGAACGGAGGGAGTATTTATTAAGGATATGATCCTTTATTTATTTTGTAATCCACCCCTTCCCATTTTATTTGTTACTTTTGCAATTTTCTTTTTTCCAAATTATTTATCACTTTAAAATTCCAATAAATTTATTCATGTTCTGAATTCTTGAAGGTGTGGATGACCACCGTTACTCACCATCAACAAGCACCATCGCTCCCACCATTATCTCACACCATAATACCTATTGATGATCCCATTATGGCCTTGTAACTCATAACCTTCTAGTGCTATATATATATAAAACACTATGTAATGTATTTTTCACACAAGAATAATAAGAGAATAATATACTTGTTGATATCTATATTGCTATCTCAATTCCCTGTTGCTTTGTTATTCTTTATTAGTTTCTCAACACGTTATCAACGCGATTGTTCTATTTTTATTTTCGAGAAAAGATGATCCAAAGAAGATAATTACTTCTCAACCATAGAAGATGAAAAGTGAGTTGATCTCAAATATTTTATTGTTGTTTTAAATTGATTTAATACTAACCATCTTAATTTTGTTGTAGGTGATTTTTTGTGCAATTCACGAATTCGTACTTTGAGCCCAGTTTTGGATATGAAAATGTCCGAATTTCAGCAAAATGCAAAATACTAAACTTTTAGAATTTTTTGTTGTCTGTTCGGAACACTTTGAACCATCAAAATCGGATATCGGTCGAGAGAGATATGCGTAAAATACTGAGTTATGCCAGAGCTGTCCCTTGTGCAATTTTTTTTAGATGAACATGTTCTAAAAACAAAAGGGATGATTGTAGGCGTAGAGCCTAGATTAAATACGAGATTAGAAATCTCGATTGAGTATATTAGACTTTATGTCTAAATGATAAGACTCTTGAACATTTGAGTTAGTCGGTATTCCCCATTTATAGTACTATTATTTCACAATTAAGTACTATATATTATGTAACCTATGGTGGATGTCTATAGGAGTTACAAAATCATTAGTGTGTGTAATTAGAGGTGATAATGGTGGATATTAAGGCCATTCATTCTCTTGTAACTCATGACCTTTTGAATGGTCTTCTTGTACTATAAAAGGGATACCATTGTATAGAGTTGATACACACTTGAATAAGAATACAATACATACACACTTGCTCTCTTGTCTTTCCCTTGTTTTATAACACGTTATCAGCACGATACTTCTACTTTAATTTTCGAGTAAAGATGATGCAAAGTAGATTATTACTTCTCAACCATAGAAGATGAAAAGGGAGTTGATTTCAAATATTTTATTGTTGTTTTAAATTAATTAAATATTAATCATCTTAATTTTGTTATAGGTGATTTTTTGTACAATTCACTAGTTCGTACTTTGAGCCCAGTGTTAGAGAATATTATATTATAGAATTCTCCTAATATTAGGATTCTAGTATGATTCAGTTACCTAGATTAGTTAGGATTTAGTTACCTAGTCAAACTCTATTACCTTGCAATATTTCTCTATATATATTCCATGTAATCAACCCATAACATAATGGGGGTTTCTATTCTATCTTTCTCTCCTTCTCCTATTCTATTCTTCCTATATGGTATCAGAACACCAGGTTTAGGTTATTTTTAACCTAGCCGCCTTTCTTCTCCATGGCGGTGAAAACCTAGCCGCTTTTCCTCCCCCAGTGGTTCTCTATCTTTTTCTTCTTCTTCTTCTTTCTTCTTCTTCTCCATGGCCGCCGCCTCTTCTCTTCTCTCTATCTTTCTTTTTCTATCTTTTATGTGAACACCACCCGAATTTTCTCCCTCCCCCGGTGGTGCATCTTCTCTATTTTTTTCCCGTTCTTCTTCTTCCTCTTTTCTTCTTCATGGTCTAAAACCTAGCCGCCGCCTCTTCTCTTCTCCATGGCCCGCGAACACCACCCAATCTTCTTCCCCCTCTCTCATCTCTTCCCTCTATCTCGATTAAAAAAAAAAAAAAACTGCTTATTTTTCTCTTTCCCGTTATTATTATTATTTTCTTTTATCAATTGGGCAGATATTTCCACAGAGGAACTCTCTAGCGATGTGTTTCGCGGTTTCTGTCCAGTCTTCATGTTTGAAGTTTCCAGTCTTCACGTTTGAAGATTATTCGTTTTGAAGTTTATTCGTTCCGACTGCGGGAGCGTGTTAGCAAGGGATTGTCCAGTCTTCACGTTCGTCACGTTTCGACTGCGGGGGCGTGTTAGAGAATATTATATTATAGAATTCTCCTAATATTAGGATTCTAGTATGATTCAGTTACCTAGATTAGTTAGGATTTAGTTACCTAGTCAAACTCTATTACCTTGCAATATTTCTCTATATATATTCCATGTAATCAACCCATAACATAATGGGGGTTTCTATTCTATCTTTCTCTCCTTCTCCTATTCTATTCTTCCTATACCCAGTTTTGGACATGATAATGCCCGAATTTCAGAAAATGCAAAATACTAAACTTGTTGAATTTTCCGTTGGATGTTTGAAACATCTTGAATCGCTAAAATCGGATCCCAAACGAATGAAATACGGTCAAAATACTCATGAAAGGCAGAGCTGCCTATCGTGCGCGGCTTTTTTTCGAATCGTCAAAATATTGAGGTAAAGAAAATTTGTTAATGGAGTATAATAAATTTTGGCACGTTCATCATTATCTGATAATTATAATAGTGTTGCAATTGAATATTTATATTAAATGTTGAGTGAAGAATAACTGTATAAAATTAAGATGATGAAAAAAAAAAACTGTAATAATAGAAATTATTCTTGTGTTATCCGAAGTTACAAGTTATCACTACACTTATTGCATGATCATCTTAAGAATTTTATTTGGAATTCCAAACATGCTCTCTAGTTTATGCAACTTGAAAAGCTCACTCCATTAATCGAAAAAGAACTCGAAGTTCATAAATTTTAGGCTCAAAGCCTATTTTAAATATGAAGGCTTGAAAGCTTATGTGGAGGCATATCAAATATAAAGATTTGAGGCCTACATTAAATTTGAAGACTATAAGTCTCGATTGAATATATTAGACTCACGGTCAAAGCGATGATATTCAAAATTGAATATTTGAGTTAATGAGTATTTCCCACTCAAGGTATTATTATTTTACGATTAAGTATCAATTATAGGGCTAAGACCCCAAATTAAGTACATAAATTCAAGGCATAAAACTCAATCCTTGGTATTTGAATTGTATATTGTACTCGAAAGAACTATTCAGTTTGTGGTTCAATATTATATATGAAGATTTAAGTTAATTATAGTACTCTTATTTCATAGCAAGTATTAAAATGATTTATATGAAGTCTACAGGCTCAAATCGAATCGAGTACATAATTTTAAGCAATAATACTCAAATCTTGAGATTATATCTATACATGTACTCAAAAAAGACTATTCCTTTGTGATTCAATGATATGAGACACATCGCCTAATTTGAAATTATTATTGATAGCCCAAGAAGAAACGTAACTATGAGCTTTGGATCATTGAAGTTGAAGATCCGTTTATGTGTCATGAAGGAATAGACAAATATTTCATATGAGAATGCGTCTTAAAGACACAACAAAGTATTATTGTATCTTGAGCATATAAATAAAGTATTGGTAATACGTGTCTCAATGACACAAATTGAATATATGTTGCTATGTGTTTTGAAGATACAAAAATGGAAATTTGTAAGAGAGAATATTATCTAATCCATGTGACTTGAAATACTCCGTCAATAGCAACATTTTGATTTAAATTATGCTCGTGAAGTAGCAACATAAAAATTAAAGTTACACTCGTACTAGCAAAAATCAAGAAAATTTGATAGCATATCGTACTATAATACGAGTTGTGGAGCTAAAATTGAAATAATGCAAAGCTCGTTTGAATGTTATTATTCTTTGACAGTTAAAATAACAAAATATTTCAGGAGATATCTTATATAGGTATCATGGTACTTATTACAATATAAATTTATCTCACCATTAGAGGTGAAGAGATGTGAAAAATATGAAAAATGATTGGTCATAAATCCATTTCACGATAAAGCATGTTGATAAGCTTTATCGAGCACCAACACAAAAATAAAAGAAATTGCGTGATTTTGGAGTCACGATATTGACCAATTCAATTAAAGTTGTAAATTCATTCCAAATGTATATCTATGGAGGTAGGTATATGATTTTTTTTTATAATTGGTCTAGATGAAATGAGATGAAATTTCAAACCAAACGAAAAAAAGGGGATCTGATTTTTTTTGTTAAAATTGCAAACCCTCTGCATATTCTGATTTTTCGAAATTTACAGTTTACTCTTTCAAAATTTTCAAAATTTTCATTTTTGTCCCCGGTTTTAAAAAATTTACCATTCAGTCCAAATGTTTTTTAGAATATGCAGCTCGTTCCTCTCATCATCTGCAATTATGAATCTATTCCAGCATTTTCAGTTTTCACCGAAGTTTTTAAAATTGCAACCATGTCCCTGAAGTTTTCAAGATTTACAGTTTGATCCCTAAAATTTTCAAAATTTATAGTTTGGTCCCTGGATTTTCAAAATTTTAAAATTTGATCATTTATGTTCAGAATCTGTTACATTCTCAAAATCAATTATTTTCAGCCACATAACATGATATCACATGGTTTGTTTATAATTAGTGCTATGCAATATTTTGCATCCCTAATGGGAGAATTTCTATGGCATACATTGTCAATTGTTATTTTAATGAGACAATTTTCCCGCCGTTAAGGGGGAGATAAGAAGCCGGTTCTTGTATAACGGGCTGAATTATATGAAATGAACTTTGTCTCGTCTACATTTGTGCATGGAAATATTTAAGCACAAAAGAAAAAAGAAATCATAAAAAATATCGATCTCGACAAGAGAAATCCAACGGTGGGTAGCCCGTCAAATTCCGACTGCCGAAACACAAAATACACCTCCGGCAAGACACACTGTCGTCGAAATATGCGTCGACTGAAAAACAATTGCGGAAATAGATCGAGTGCTCCAAACTGAATGAAATCACCACCAAAACAAAGAGCTCAACGAGAGAAATCCAACGGTAGTAAAACCATCGAATTCCAACCACCGGAGAGAGAGTTGTGACTCCAGAAAGCAACTTCGCTGGTTGGAGATATATGGAGGCGGGATTTGAATTTGAGAGTTGAGAGAGTAAGAGAGAAACGACTGTGAGTGACTAGAGTTTAAAACTGATTTTAAAAGGGCATTAAAAATACTTCTTGGTGAGCGAGGGGGGTATGTCAAAAAATTTCAAAATGAGGGGAGATTCCCTTAGACTGTAATCCACTTGGTAGTTAGTTCTATATAATTTGGAAATGAAAGAGGTCTGTACACCCAATAATGCGAACAAAAATGAATCAAATCTAGACAATATAGATTAATAATTTACAATTTATGATTATTTCCATCTTCTCTTCTCTAGTCGTTGAGTATAAAAGTACAAAATGCAATTAAGCTCACTACGGTAGAGTATCAAAAATACACTTGAAAAGCTTCACTGTTAATGACTATCATTTCCTGATAATTTAAAAATATAACTTAATTGCAATGAAAAAAGAGCACAATGAAAGCCAAAAGGAAGGAAGACCAAAAATCGTCCAGCCAAACAAGACCGTGACGTGACGTGGCGTGTTCGGCTAATGTTAGATTAAATTATAGTAAATTATCCATTGAAGGGGCAAACTAGACTCTAATAAGTCTTTCAGTATGTCTTTTTTCTGACAGTAAACTTCTTAACATCTTTCTTTGCAGTTGAAGAAGACATGTACATTCCTACCAAAGCTTCATACAGATCTTTCAACCTACATTTCACAATTTCAAACAAAACAATTTAAATTTATATTTCTTATCAAACAAAAAAAATTAAATTAAATATAATAAAAGATGCTGTTGCATGCATACCTTGGCATACTCATGAACAGAGCAAACACCGCAACTCCAGAAAGCAGATGATACACAGGTACAGGAGTCAATTCCTGAAGCCCATCAAAGTGCAAGCGTTATATATATATATATATATATATATATATATATATATATATATATATATAGGCAACTGCCCTAATAAAAAAAAATTGAATAAACAAGAGAAGCAAAATTACCTGCTTGTTGTGGATGTCCGCTTCAATCCTATAATTAAGTGGACCGACATGGATTTGAGGTTGGCTCTCCAAGTCGATTTCAATAACTTGAGACTCAAATTTATGTGTAGTGGATGGGAGAGCAGATCGAAGCTGGAGAAGGTGTTTACCCTTTGGTAAGTCCTTCACCTGAAAGAAGTTTGAAATTGGCAACGGAAACACGGACTCGACCTTTGATGGATCACTAGCAGATCTTATTTCCACCCTGATTTGGGAACCTACTTCCTTTATATTTTCTCCCTCAACGTGACCACTTAAAATTGTCATTTCTGGTTGTTCGAACACCACAAAATCTACCTCCTTTGTATCCTCATGCCCAACCTAAAATTACATAGTGACGAGAAAAGATGTTAAAAGTCTGCATAGTCAGAATTTGATATCACAATCATCAAAAGTCAAACTAACCTTTACAGTCGAGGAATCTGGCGATGCACGCTCAATATGTACGCCATCAAGCTCACTCTTCCTTGCTATTTTAATAACATATGTAGTGTCAGGTTGGAGTCCCCTCAGCCGATAACTTCCTGATGAATCTGTTGTTGTTTCTTCATAAAAGCCCTTTGCCTCAGCCCTTGCTTCAACTGATACTCCTTCTTTTGGCTGACCAGATAATAAAGTTACCTTGCCCAAGGCACTGCAAAAGAAAGAAAATGTTTAGAGTTCTTTTGAAACTATTAGGCTTCGCTTGTAACGCTACAAGTCCATTAAAAAAAGCCAAACGGATTAGAAATAGTTCAATTTCAAACAAAAAGACACTACTGAGCATCTAATAACTAATATAGAGCACAAGTTTACCAACTCTCATTAGGAGAGTTGGTACCTAGCCTCTACTATTAGGAGAGTTCATCTAGGGTTCGAATCCTGCCCTTCCCCCAAATTCTAACAGGAGTGATAACGAAAATATCAAAGTACATGTTCCGATCTAACAAAAGGCTGAAATTAGGACAGAAATCTTCTGCCCTGAATGACATGTGTGCTAGACCACACACGCACAGATTGTACAAGTTATATACAAAAAAAATATCAAGATAAAGAAAGTGTAAAATTGCTGGGCAAATAGGAGTTCCAATTATACTGAATACATAATGAAGAAAGATAACTTCCAATTATTGCTGTGCAAAATAAGAGCCATGATACCTAAACGAGACACGAGTAGCATGAAAAATGACTTCCTTGGATTCCCCTGAGCCAAGGTCAATCGCCTCTGCAGGAGGGGAGAAAGCATATTCCTGGAAGTAGAGAAAATAATGTTATAGAGCAACTCCAATGCATAAATATCATATTGAGTTATCAAATGCTCATTTGATACTTGGGATAATATTTTGATACCTCTACAAAACTAGTGTACTCTAAGCACATCATCTACCAACAACAAATATCAAACGAATGTATCATTATCTTAAATTTTATTTTAAATTTATAAAAACATTGAATTGTGGTGTGCTATTTTTCTAGGGATATTTGATACCTGTATATCCAGGATGCATTTTTGCATCCCAATATAGGTATAAAAATGCAACGTCATTTTGGTAACACTTCTGGAGAATAAGTTTTCAGAATCCGGGAATCAAATGGTGGTTAAGGGATTTGAGAACTCAGTTAGTTATCCCATTGGAGTTTCTTATAATACTTACCTAAACCGAGTTATCAAATGTGAACCACAAACTCTGAGAAATATACGAAAGCATATCCCATAATATGCAGATGGGGGAAGAAGCAAGTCCAGTCATGTATGCTAATCTAAAACTAAACCGAAAGGAAACATGTGATTCTAATGACATAGAGAGATCTAAAACAAGGTTCTATGCAACAACAAAAAATGATTTCACGATTTCCGTTGATTTGAGATTCTTAGTTTTTTTCTTTCTGCGAATCGACAACTTAGCTTGGAATGGTACAAATAAAATGCTGGACAGCACACAAAAAATGAAGCCATAAAAAATAAAGTTAAAAAGTGATCAATCAGCAGAACAAATAACAGAATTTTAATTTGAGTACCTTCAACAAAGGTCTGAGATAAAAACTTCCAGGAAATAAGTTATCAAACATGAAAGTTCCACCAACACCAGTTACTGAATTGTTTCTATATCCATCTTCGCCACTCAACGACAGGAGAACAGATGGAAATGGCTCAATGCTGTCTTCTCTAGAATATAATCGCACAGAAATTTGACCAAGCTTCTGACAAGAAAATGAATACTGTCCAACTTGTTTTACGTAATAACCCGGCTGCAAGAAAGAGAAAGCTCCATCATCATGCATGTTAACTGCAAAAGAAACCTAAATATGCTTTCCTATGGCATTTTCAGTTGACAGTTGTTATAAGCAATGTCTTATGCAAGTGTAGTTCAATTTGGGTGTAAAACATTACGGGTATATCAATCTTTTTCTAAATTTAACTCATTGATCGAAAAACCGGCAACTATATGGTGGTATTACACATTCATAGCTAGCAATTAATTAAAGATGAACCCTTACCTTTAATTTATTATGAAACGTATCTATTACACCCCTAACTAATGGAACAATATGAAGGTAGCTCTTTGTGCTCTTTTAGAAACAGAAACAAGATAATGAATACGAGGAAAAAGAGAAACACTTCTTTCAAATGAAAGGAAAATGCAAATATAATTATCAGCAAGGACATGAGTAGCAAAACATGTAACAACTTCCATTTTCTCCAAAAGGAAATAAAATAATAGAAGAATTTATCCCCCTAAGATACTCAAAACCCAAGATGACCCATAGATTAGAATCATGGAAAAAAACAGGCTTATATCTAACTTCCGTAAAAAAAAGGGCCATCTTGGACAACTTTCTTATAAAGATGCTATGGTTGCTTGAACAAAAGAAATAAGCTACAACCATAACTTCGGAAATATAAGATGCGAGCAAAATTATGATAAATCGAACTCGTGATCAGGAACTTGGCTAGTTTATCAAAAGATTGGCTGGGACCATATATAGCCTAATATTCAGACTATCCAACAAACACTGACTTAATCAAATGAGCTCTTTATAAATTATAATACATTTTCAAGAATCTGTCAAATATCTAGGCAACACTCACATTCCAGAAAACTACCAATTTTTATGTTTGGAGGATTTGACAAACAAAAGACCACATCCCTGTTGAAAAGAAGTGATAACTGGGAACAATATAAATCTAACAACAAGGTGATTAGTAGATAGAATATAAGCTAACAAGGTGTAGAAGCAATATAAGGTAACCAAACCATGTGATGATAAACATAATCTGAACTGTATCTATTAAATTTTCAAACCTTTGATGCCTCAATGCTGTAACCTATATCATCATAGAGAGGTCCTGCAAGAAATAAACCATCCGTCCCTGTGGTAGTTTCGAGCACTGTATCGCCTTGCTTAAGTTGAGAAATATGGCTCTCTCTCTCAGCAAGAACTCGTATGGAAACATCAGAAAGAGGGGGTGAAACTGATCCTTCAATATATAACCCCAACCGACCAGAAAATGAAGCGATTGGAACTTGGCAGCCATCTTGTACAACTGACACCTAATCAAATATGATGAAAACCTTAAATAAGCTAGCAATTTTCCCAGATACAAAATATAAGTAGAACGAAAAACTCCGGGATCCCCTTACATGCTGTTGTCTTGGGTAAAATAAAATTTTCTTATGCACATCATTCCTGCAGCAGATGTAAGTTAAGGATGAGGACATAATATTCATAATAGCAACTAAATAATCAATTATAAGATAATGATACAATATCGGTTAACTCGGTTAACAACAGAGATAAAAACACTAGTAACTCAGGTTACGAACCCTCATTAGGTGGGTTGATACCTGAACATGATTATTAGAGTAAGGTCAGAATTTGAAATCCTGCACCCAACCCCATGACCCCCACCCTCCCACCTCGAGTTACCAGTTTGTAACATGATTTGAATTTATTCAAAGGAAACCATAAGTAACTCAGGTTACATTGAAATTTAGATTTTCTTTCAATTGGTGACATCAACCCTCTCAAATTTTATAACGTCATAAATTTCGTAATAGCAACCAAGATAGTGATACAATATTGGTCAACTCGGTAAAATATATTGGTCAAAGTCGAGTTCTAAGTTAGACAAGGTGACCTTTAGAAGTTCAGCACCCTAAAAGACATATTATTTCATCTTTAGATATCATTATGCGCCTTATGTCATTACTGTAAGGGTAAATTACACCTACACCCCTGAGGTATGCTAAAACACCTTTAAGGTACCTGTGGTATCGGTAATTACAATCACCCCACTGAAACATTGTTAGAAACTCCAACGGGATAATGCATTCGATACGTTATTCCGATAGAGTTCTAACGAAATAATAGTTTCAGTAAGTGGTCTAGACAACATAGAGCTAAGGGGTGATATGGCTCCCCCAACATTTCTTAAATCACCCATAGTTGTTGTCACCACCACTTCCTGAAACTAATAGTCCGTTAAAACTCTATCGAAATAACATATCCAATGCATTATCCTGTTAGGGTTTCTAACGATGTTTTAGGGGGGTGATTGTAATTACCGATACCACAGGGACCTTAAAGTTATTTTAGCATACCTCAAGGGCGTGGGTGTAATTAACCCTTACTGTAAACATAGAGAAACAGGAAAGAATATTTCCCTTGGTTAACGCAAGTAACTTGTAGAAAATCAAACTTTTGTAGCAGATGTACTAGTCTATGTGTTCACCAGCAGTGCCCACATGGAATAGGCAATTCAACAAGGAAATAGAAAAAGATTCAAGAGAAAGATGAAAGAATATGAAAAAAAAAAAAAAAAAAAAAAAAAAAAAACCTCAGAAAATATAAAAGCCGGAAGAACTGATATTGCAGCACATGGGCACATATACCTTGAGTCCCGAGGGACAAAGATCAGGTTTTCTCCAAAATTAGCCCAAACAGAATACTCATAGATGGTAGCCCCTGATTGATCAACTCCAGAAGAGACATGTTTGGCAATAGTACCACCAACTAACGTTTCTTGATTGTCTACAATGTCAAGTGGTATACTCTCAGGTAAATTCTCGTTTGATTCAACACTAATATGTCCTTTGAGAAGATATTTCTCTCCCTTTAAATTAATAGGCTGCAGAAACAAGAAAAAAAAATTGAATCCCAAGAAAAAGCAAATCATGTCCAAAGAAAGAAACCCAAACAAGAAGATGAAAGGGAAAAAAACATAACAAAAAGAACCGAAAGGAGAAGGGGTCACCCCAATAAGCATCATACCGATAGGTTTGATGTATCAATTCTCACGATGGAGCTCCCAAAGGAGATACATGAGTCGACAAAATGAAGCTCATGCACACCAGAAGACTTTACACAAATCTTCTGGGAACCTTTCTGCAATTTGAAAACAATTATGATGATGGTGATTTTACAGAAAATAATGGATTGGAGGTTTAGTTACGATTTACGAATGATCTTTGACCTTAATACTCAAGTTCACTCGAGAACTGTCTGCTTGTACCAAGTAAGAATCCACATCGTGGCTGGAAATTAGGCTAACCCAATAACCCTTTTGGATAAAAGTAATCTCTTCGACATCCTCGACACCAACATCCACATTCATAAAGTTTTGTTCCCAGCACCATATATCTTCTCCGGATGCAGTTCCGGGGGAATTGCTTTTGACCTAGAAAGGAACAAATAAATCATCGTAAGGAAGACTTCTAACACTGAGTTAAAGGAGCTCTGAACTTCTGTATCGGGGATGATAGCTACTTTTAGTATCATAAATGATGTGAATTGACAACACGGTAGTGTTTGCAGTGATGCACATACATACATGGAACAGTAAAATGTGCCTCTTATTTAGAAAGGAAAAGGAATCAAAAGTCTAAAGGCTAATAATTACCTCAACTCTGTATTTCCCGGGAAGTACATTTGAGAAGGAGAACTCACTACTCTGTTCACTCAAATTAGTTTTCCTTCTCTCTTCTTTCCTTCTATCATCCAGTTTCACAAGGATAACAGAAACAGAAGAGTCGCATTTATCTTTGCAGACAACCGAGCCACGAACGTTGACTTGTGCCTAGATTTTCAAAGAAATTAATGATAATAATCAAAGTAGAGATGTCATTGAGGGTAAGGATTGAACAGTACGCAGAGTCAACATAACTACATAAATATCCAGAAGAAGACGATAAACAAAAAGAACTGAGAATTGTCAACAATCTGAAAGCGAGCAAGATCTTAATTTCTTAAGCATTCACATAAAGGAGGAAAAGCATTTAAGCCATCTTATAAATGCAAAGTCAGACCTGATAAAACTTGACACTCAGTAATGGCTTTTTAACAATAACATCGACGTGATCTGGAGAAAACAGAAGTTCTGGAGCACTCTCAGGCGTGGCTGCAAAAGCAGATAAGCGGTATTCACCAGGTGGTACCTGGAAAACATAAGTACCCGAATTCATATGACAGAAATGAAAACCTGTATTTATCGCCCATGATGTAGATTTATAAGTTATTTGCTTCAAATAGATGTGACGATAGACAATAAAGTAAACACATTAGAAAATTTGTGAATGTCACACTTGAGAAATTACACCCCATAAAAGGAAAAAATAAGTGTCGCAAGAAAAGAGCTTACTTCAAAGCAAAAGTTGCCACTTTCATCAGTTTGTTTCACTTGGGGTTTGACATTCTCTGGTCCATGAGTCAGAGCAACCTGAAAATTCAGATGATTGATTACTTGTACCAATTCAGGAAAGGCATTGAAAAAGATCGTAAAGCCTGTGTTTTCAGAAACAATGCAGAACTCGCAACATGATATTTGCAGTCAAACCAACCGCCACCATACCCGACCAATATATCAATCAGTGTTCAGTGGATGCACACACCTTCAATATCACTGCCACCATCCAAACAAATTAAATTTTCTGGATCTCCATGGAATCATCACATCCAAAATATTACCATTAAGAGATTTCTTCACCTATTAAACTTTCGTTTGCTTGCAGAAAAGTATTGTCTACTAGGATACTACCAGTGACAAACTTGCAAACTACCAGCTACAACGATTTAGCGCTATACTAAATTATGACCAAGTGAAAAGAAAAGAGAAAATATACCATATTAGTTTATGTTTCCTAGCCATCTAAATCAATTATCAGGCTACTTGCTAGTGAGAAAACGATATGCACAATGCTGTTGTGATTTGCAAAGAGATGACAAACAAATTACCTTAGCTTTGTAAGCAGAACTAACTGTCTGTGCCGTGCCGCATAAATCATATGATACAGCTTTGATATCAACAATTGAAACCATGTTTGGTAAAACCTAAGCGAAAAACAGATTAGGGCAGAAAAATGAAATGAATGAGTAGCCAATGAAGATCCACAGGGATCAATTCATGGTGCTAATTATCTTTTATCTATAAACTTGTCTACTTTACTGAAATGTTAACAAAATAAAAGCTGAGAGAATCTCTTACCAAAAAGTCATTTAGTGTTTCAAACTTGTAGTGCTTCTTCTTGGCTTCAATACTGTATCTTTGTGATGTAACCTGAGAGCATTGATGATTCATCACTCAAAGGCCAAAATATAAAAGAACAAAAAAGTTCTTACTAATTGTAAAGGGAAACCAGCTGATTGCATGAGATATGCAGGACATTAAAGCTGCACAATTAAAGTAGCAATGTTTTGCTTATGCGTGCATATTTAAATTTCTCTAAAACCACACACGACAATTTCTTCAAGCTCTTCAAAAACAAAGAAAATGACAGTGGTTAGTTGATTGTTTGTCAACAAAAAAGACTCACTTCACTGACTGCATTGCGTGATTCCAATAACCTTATTTATATTCTCATGGGTTTTGACACCTTTAAATGGATGCAGATAAGCAAGAACATTGTAGACTATGAGATTAATTAATTTAACAAATGACCAGAAAGGTAATTTTTTTGTGTCTCTTCCTACAGTACGATTTATAAAGCTTCAATCTAAATCTCCACAAGGTATAATATGATAATGACAAAATTCCTGACACCATTGCTCCTTGGACATATATATTGCAGTACATAGGACTTCAACACACTAACCAGACTACGAATTTACCTTAAATAAGAAATCAACTGCACATAAATGATATATCTACATAGTTGACAGCATGTACCGTATAAAAATGGATGATCAAGTGGAAAGGAAAAATGTACGAACAACAGACAAAATCAGGTTCTTTATTGCAACAATGATTGATTACATAAGATTTGAGTTAAACACAAGGACTCAACATGAAATTTTGGCATTATAAAGAACGTAATTTTACCTGATCAAGTTTGTAATATCCTTCTTTATCAGTTATTGATCTTTCATGGCCATCCACTAGGATTTTTGCAGCATCCACCCCAATGCCATTACCATCAACAACACGACCTCCAACAGAAAACCCAGTTACCTATCCAATATTAACGAGGCAAATGATTGAAAATAAAGCAAGTTTAGCATTAAAAAAATGGATGAAACCGCAAAGTACATTACAAGAAAGTGAACTAGTTCAAAATAGGCAATGCTGTTCACTACTTCATGCGTCCTAAGGAATGCAGTTGCGTGAATAAATGAAGAATGTAAGCATACGCAAATTATAGAATACAAAAATCTTTGCAGCATGCAAGTTATTGGTCACAGTAAAAGTAAAAGAGGGAGAAAGAATATGAACCTGCTAACTAGAGCACATAACACTATTCCATTTTTCCCCGTGAGTAATATAATACCATTATATAACTAAACCATCCATTTTCAAGGACAAGAGATAAACAATAAATCCATTTTCAGTTTTCATAAGGAATTACTGAAAATGGATTTTAACATATGAAAACTTTTCAGTACCCCCTTTGTTTTCATATGTTCAAAATAAATCCTGCAATGCACTTTGCCTAAACTAACATGTTATTGGAGATAATTCAAGCAACCAAGGTTTTGTACCTGAAACCTTTGAGGGACTATAGCATGATCGTGCTGAACAGAGACCAGCATTGAAGGAGGTGAAACATCAAAAACTGTATTCTCGCCCTTGTAGAAAGGTATCAACTTGTAGATACCTGAAACATTTCACCAATCATTCGCTAAGCACCAGACACTCAACAAATTTGTGCAACAACTGTGGTATTACTGTGCGTTCAAAGATAGAAGTTCTGAAGCGTTTTAAGTATTTTATCAAATGAATGCAGGATGAACCTCAACACCTAGGACAAGCAGACAAGCAAGAGATTCACTCGACATAGAAATTATTTTATTTTGAGTTATAAGTTATAACGCTTGTATACCCCCATTTCATACCTAATCAAGGGAACATTCGGATAAAGATTGAGGAACCGGATATATTGCGCTAATTTACTTTCTTGGTAAGCAGAATAGCTTTGAAAGTAAGTTCCTGAATGGACTGATAGATTTCCAAATGCAATCAGCAATTCCGGTATTGCACGGTGATTGATGCATGTCTAGTACAAAATTTCAACATCTAAAAATTTATAAGCCAACATAGGGCATGTTGGAAAATAGGGAAACTAGACCTCTAAAAAGAACAAACAATTGCACACAATCGGCAACAGAAGAGCAAATTATGCCGCAGAAAACATTCTAAGGAGCACACCAAATGTCGGAAGCAAGACAGAACAAATCATTGGAAACTGAACAAACAAATCATACGCAGGAAAAAAACAAAAAAAAAAAGGCCTGAATTTAAGGAACTAAAACCATATTAATGGCTCAGATCTTGGAAATATTTCGAAAACTGAAGGTCGCATGGAAAACACATGAAGTTGCCATTATTAGATGAGTAACATGCATAGGACGAGAATTACTATATAACAATTTTTATAAACGAACAAGAACCAGAATTGCTAGGAGGCTAAGACAAAAATAAGTGCATAAAAGTACATAGTACCACATGGTATTGATGTGAATTTGAACATCCCATCAGCATCAGATACAGCATGACAAAGAGCTCTCCCCAGACCAGGTGCATTACCAGAATCATGCGGGCAATTTACTTCCGAGACATCATCCGAGTATAAGTAAAAATGAACTCCCAATATGGGATTTCCCTAATAATATGACATCAAAAAACAATAGATATATTTATTTAGGAAAAAACAACGAACGAAAACCAGATCTATAAAATATTAGCAATTGCCAACTACAAAAATGGAAACATTCCAATTTTATATGGAACTTTTTTCATCCATAGACAAGCTAGAGAATGGAATGTGTGACAAGGGCAGCCAACAAATAGTGTAGAATTCAAAATAAAGCTGCCAGGCAGGCAGTGATTTTATTACATTAAATACAGACAACCAAGTGGCAATGTTGAACTATTTTGCTGCAAAATTGAATCTCAAAAGGAAAAGAAAATGGAACACATTCTCATATCGACTGTGGCAAAAATTTACCTGGGCAACCACATAACCACGAATATCATATCCGGATACGAAGAAAATATCATCCACCACACTGTTATCAAAACCTAATTCCACCTGCACAGTTATACATGAACTTGAAGCAATGTTTTCATGTAAGAATATTGAAAAGGGAATTTGTGTGATCAGCAGCAAAAGAAAGACATCGGATATGCCAATTGTAGTAGGAAGGAAAAGATTATGACAAAGTAGAGAGAGGAATAAACGGATCCATGTAATACCTCTACAGAACCCTTGATCTCGATATTTAAATCAGGACGTGAAGCACCAATTTTATACTTTCCTGCATGCATGGAGAGACGTTGTTAAGAAAATGGAGATTTCAAAAAGGATAAGATTAGCTATGAATAACTTTAATGTATGGGCAGTTAAACACCTAGCTGCTTGAAGTTTAGTTATGCAAAATGTAAGTTACTTTCCTCCTTGCACAGCTAAGACTCAGTCATTCTTATACGATGTTCACTTATTGAAAAAAGTTCTTGCACAGTGGACTCCATATTAAAATTAAAAATAATTGCTTGTTTAGTAGGAAATGCCTGGTGTTATTTCAAGGTGCCCATTTAATCCGTGAAAGAAGAAAAGGGAAACACATCGCTTGGAGAAGATTTTGTTGTAGAGAAAAAAAGGAATGTAAATAGTGGAACACATGTCAACTCGTGAAAAGGGATAGGTGACAGACTCTGTTTGACAGTCTAAAAGGATACCAAGTAGTCCATCTTCAAGTATCAAAAAAGCATACATGCTATAATCCAGGAAGAAGAAATAGGAATAATTATTAGACCTGGAATAATGTTTTTGAATGAGTAAGTTCCGGTTGATGTAGTTGAGATTGAAGAGACAACATCCCCACCGGGAGACATAAGCTCGACATTCACATTTGATGGACCGCCATTTTTAATTGAACAGCTATCCCCAGAAACTGCTCCCACGACTCTTCCGGACAACGTGAACCTGTAGAAGTAGTAAAGACGGTAAATATAAGTGGGCCACATACAAATAATTTAGTGTGATCAATTACTTAGAAAATAAAAGTACCTACCCAGTAAATCGAAAATTTATATCTTCATTGGCATTGCAACCAGCATGATCAACAACAACAGGAACCTAAAAGAGAATTTTTATTGTCAAGAATACAGACCAGGGATAAATATGATATATACCAAAAACACGTAATACATATTAGTAAGACATAACCAAGAATCTCAACCTGTTCGGGGGCACATGTCCATCCCTCGGGTCCCTTGATTTTGATTACATAAGAACCCTGCAACCAAGGTAAAAGCATATTTACAAAATGAAACGAGATGAATGTTACTACAGGAAGATCACCAAGAGATACATTTGATCAATGATCAGTTAATCCAACTTCTCATTGATATAACACTCCACAGTAAATAATGCAACTTGCAAGTGAAACCAAAACGTTACAAGTTGACTTCAAAATCAATTATCATATGCTCCAGCTATAACAACTGTTTCAATTATATAGAGTTAATCTAGGCATGAAAAACATAGCTTTTGAACTAGAAATGCACAATTGTGGAAGTATACAACGGAAATTGATCGAATTTCACCCTTACTCAATACTTTCATACTCAATATATCTTTTTGAAGTGATTTAGGGTTTAGTCCATAAACTTACGACTTTTTCATTTAACTATGACTCGTGAATAAGGATGTTATTAAAACCAAACAAAAAAAAAACAGATTCAAGAAAATCAAACCAATGCAGATCAAAGCATCAATAATAGAAGGGGTAAAAGTATCGAATAGACGACCTTGTCGTAAACTGGAATGAAGTAGTAACCATTAGGAGCACATTGTGTCCGGTCCTTAACCAACCCATCCAACGTCCGTAGTTCAACCTACATTGTTCAAAACCAGAGTATCGTTACATTTACATGCCAACACTGATATACATTAATGCAGTATATATATATATCATAGATCCTAAAAAGAATTAATCAATGTCTTAACAGATTCTCATACCGTAACGTGAGAATAATCCAATTTCGCATCCGTTGGCTTCCTCGATTTTATCAAAGCTGAACTCGCCTGCAAAAAAACAGATAAAATTAATTCCATAATAATCGTTCATAGTAAGTAGGTTAAGAATAAAAATAAATATCAATCAGTAGAACAAAAATCCAATTAAGTCCTTCGACAAAACCTCAACGAATCCACCACATCCTTGAATAGAAGAATCAGCAATCGCGAGTCGATAACTGTGGAAAAGTATAATCGCGAGTAGGAAATAATAGTTTATGGAAGCCATTGTAAATCTCGATAATCAAGAAATGAATTGAAGAAGACGGAGGACTCAGATCTTAGTCGCCCATGGATTTTGGATTTTCAGTGATATCAGACTTCTTTATTGACACTGTTGAATTTGGATCCGGAACTACCAGGGTTTACTGCAGGGTTGGGAGCCGGCTAAAACAAATACTTTTTTTTTCTCACTTCGATACCACCATCATATAAAAAATAAAAAATAAAAAAAAAAAGTAATGATATTATTATCCTTAATGAAAATCGATATCACACACAAAGTTTGTGTGGTATTGATTTTATTAAGAGTATTAATGTTATTACCTATTTATTTTTTTACTTTTTTATGTTTGTAATATTGAAGTGAGAAAGAAATAGTATTTGTTTTAGCCGTCTCTTTACTTTATCTATGGTTTTCCTTGGGGGGCAAATAACAACTCTTGGAAGAATGACCAAAAAAATACATTTTACTTGGGCTTATTCTTATGGGGGCATTTTGCTATAGCCGCACGATAATCTTCTATCGTCAATAACAATTGTTTTTTGCACAAAATCCTATTTTTTTTACTGAAAAGATGGGTTTATCTTCCACGGTTAGGTGTGGTTTGATTGCGCAGATTAACTAAACAGTAAGGTTTAATTTTATATTTGGTGAGCCTAATTACTTTGGGTCGACCGGCTAGAATAATTTTTATTATCTCTTATAATGGCTGGTTGGGAGAAAACTACTAACTGAACCTCGGGAGGTCCAATCAAAATTATGGAACTATTAGTCATAATCATCTCTAGTGTTTTTTTAATAAGAGTGGATTAAGCCACATTTCCAATATTAGTAGTAAACTAACTCTTTTAATGATTCGTGAAAATAGCCTTTTGGAAGCCATGTTTCTCTAAAAAAATATATATATATACAAAATTCGAAAATTGAAAATCCATACAATCGTGTCTGATTAAATCCCCAAAATCTGGCATCACAATCTTTCCATAAACTCCCACCTGCAAAGCCTAAATCGCATAAACGACTACAACGACGATGATATCTAGGACCGAAACAGTCGACAATGTGAAACCATTCCTTCCTAAACCCTCACCTCAATCACTGGAATGTCTGAAAACGATTGCTTCGGCAACGTTCCCTAGAGAGAGAAAAAAACAGTCGACGAAACTACAAAATTGACAAAATTCTTGAAGTTGTACACAACAACGCACCGCCATTAATTAATCAAAAAGATATATGCGAGCAGTACGTTCCCTATTCAATAACAGACTATATTGCACTCCCACAAAAACCCAATTTACAAATGTCCGGATAATAATAGTTCATATCTTATAGAGTCTTTTATTCACAATGTCTGGAGACGTGGTTAGTGCATGGATATTGAAATTGACGATTGATAAATTACAATAGTACAACTAAGGAAAGCTCGTTATTGATTTGTTAATGAAGTACGTGAAAGCTTTTTTCGTCGCAATAAAATTGGCTAATATATTAATTATAATATTGCGACGCATTCGAGAAAACGTCGCAATTTTTAAATTTAGAATTGCGACATTTTTACTATTTTCGTCGCAATAAAATTAGCTAATATATTCTTTATTTTTTCATTGCGACACTCAAGGTAATTATGTCGCAACCTTGCGACGAAATATAAAATGTCGCAACAGCCCCATTCCATTTGCGACGTTTTTGAAATAACGTCGCAATATGACTTTATTAAAGAAATAATTTAATTTATATTTTGTATTGCGACGTATTCTTCTATTATCGTCGCAGTGTAGCGACAATATTTTTTTTTCATCACAATAATTAGATGGAAATTTTAGTGTTTAAATGTGCGACATTTGTTTGCGACGATATTATTTTTCGTCGCAAAAATTTATATAAATTTACATTTATTTGCGACGATTTTGTTTAAAATAGTCGCAAATTGTGTGACGAATATGTTTTCGTCGCAACAAAAAAGGTCGCCTGAAATGAAATTTGGCATAGTGAAGATAAGGCGGCAGAAGAAGTTAAAGGTTGCATACCACTCTTCCTGGTAAGGCACTCATTTTGTAATTATTGAATTATTTTATTCTTCCTTTTCTTTTTTTATCATAGTGTTAGTGTTGTCTAAAATGGCCTACGAGTTTTCAGCAGTTAGACAATTTGGTTAATGAAGTAATCAATTTTGTTGGGTTTGTAGTTTAATAGGTTTGATTTCCACAATATACTATTGACTAATGTTTTTGTGTGTGCTTGGGTTATTTGTAGTATAGACCAAAGTTGTAAAAAGTGGTAATCGGATCCGAGTCGGTCATGCATCGATTCACGATTAATCGGTGCGGCGGTGATTAATCGGTGATAAATCGGAAATAAATCGGTTCTTAAAATTTAATATAGTATATTTCTAGATATTATTTATAAATACTTCAAACATATATAAAAAGATATTTAAACATAGTTATATCTCCATCATGTATATATCCTAATAACATAATAAAAATTTAATAATTATAAGATCATAATACATAAATATCCCTTTTAAAATATAAATAAAAAAGCAAATTTTTTGAATTTACATTTATTCATGAACATTCTTGGCATACATCATTAGTTCTTTAACAATAACAATTAACATAAACAAAATAAGGCATAAACTCATATTTTCTTTTATTTTAAAATCCCAAATTTTATTTTGAATTATAAAATAAAAAAATAAAATAAAAAAAAAACCGATTTTTGACCGATTTTTGCCACCGAGTTTGACCCGCCTTAAAGGTTTGACCGCCTCAGACCGCCTCGGACCGCCTAAAACCGCCTCACAGGCAAAAAACCGATTTTTCAAACCTCTACACTAAAAACGTAAAGGTTTTGAACCGCCTTCGCTTCGGAGACCGATTAATCGGCCGCCTCGGCCGATTTTTAGAACACTGTAGACACAGTGAATAGGTGTTTTTCAGCAGGTGAGTCGAATAATAGTTAATTTTTAAATGTATTCTCTGGTATATTTTGATATTAAATTTATTTTTTTGAGAAAATAGTTTTATCCAATAGTTTATTTTAAGAAATTCCTGTTTTGTATTAGTTGTTTAACTAAACATTTGTTTTGTAATAATAGTTTATTTACATCTTAATGCAAATGCTTTTTGTAATACTTGTTTAATTACATAGTTGTTTAATTACTTATCATGTCAGAATCCCTTAACTTAATTACTTATCATAACCGCTATTTTTTTTTAAATAACGTGACAATTCTGGATGTGTGAACGACTCAATCTTGTGGAACCAGTACACCCAGCCGCATTTCTAAGATTCATAAAATGGAGCTTGAAAACTTTTATAGAAAAACTTGCTCGTATATAAGAAGTGATAGGCACCCTCATCGAAGAGACAGATTTGGAACGTTCATTACTAAGTGGCCATTATGAAGAACAAGATCTTAGCGGAAATGAGTTGCATGACGATGAAGACGAGGAGAGTGACGAATCAGAAGGCAACTTCTTTTCTCGCGAGCGCGCCTGACACTATTTCAGCGTGGCAACTTCTTTTCTCGCGAGCGCGCCTAGTATAGGACATGCGTAATAAGGTCTTTATGTTCACACTTCTTGCTCGACTTCCTTCATCTTCTTCGTGCTCGCTTCCACATCTAATAAGATGCATGAAAAAGACCTCAAACCACTAAATATGATGCAAAATGCAAAGACAAACGAATAAAATCCTAATACTTCAAAATACGAAGAAAAACCTAAAAAAACTCTCAAACCATTAAACAATAACTCGTGAAAAGAATGTATTAGTGCACTTTTCATAGCACTAACATATATGACTATATACATATGTCGATGCCCCTTTCCCCGCCCTTTTTATTTATTTTCCCTTTTTTTTTGGCCCTTTTTAATACGAGATGGTGTCGTCTCGTTCACTTTCTCCAATCACTTTGGGCCTGCCATTTCTTTCCTTATTAATAATCTCATATTTCAGCAATGCGAATTCCTCTCGATAATTAATTTTCACCTATTAATTATTAGAATCTCTACCCAATGCACTGGGGTTCATTTGACTCAATATAGGCATCTCTCGCACTGTAAATTAGAGTAGAGATTACCAATTAAGGGCCTGTTTGATTGCACTTAATACACCTCTTAATGAGCAAATTGCTTATTTGGTAAGCAAGAAGAGGATTCAGTGCATTTGGTGATGAGTTCTGAATGAGTCCAAATGACTCTTAATGATTCAGCCCAAAGATAGGTGCTGACCGAATCGGCCCAATGTCTGGATGTGATTTGGACATATTTACCCTTAATCACATTAACTAATTTATTCCTTGTTTATTATCCTACTTTTTTTTTACTATCCTATTTAAAACGGTTGATTTTCTTTTTCAACCTAAAATTTTATCAGTTAATATTTTCGAAAACCCTACACGACGAGACAATGTTACTTTTAGCTGTTTTATTTTAAAAGGTTACTTGTTTTCTCTATTTGTTTGGCATTTATATTTTAAATTGTATTATAATTGTAAAGATGTTTGATATCCACTAAAAATTCATACTTCGTTAATTAAGTTAATCAAGCAAAAATAATTCTGTTTATACAAATATGTTGCTCGTAATTTAATTAACATAATATTTTAGAATTTCACCAAGGCTATAATGGTAAAATAACATTATTCAGACATTACTTGTCTTCAGCTATCAAATGAGCTTAATGGTTCAGCATTCAGTATACAGAAACAACTCTTACGGCACAATTGGTATGCAAGAAAGGAATAAGATAGGAATGAAATAACCATTGGAATGGAATAATAATGGGAAAGGAATGATAATATTATTCCATTTCCTATGTTTGGTATGAACGAGGAATAAGAAAGGAATGAAATCTAATCCCTTACCTTCTATGAATCTCATGATTGGTAACTTAAATAAAATGTAGCGGAATGGAATAAAATATTTTCGTGACTAAATTATCCTTTAATTAAAAAAAATATTAATATTTTTTATTTACTGTCTTGATTTTTAAATTTATTATTTTTAAAAAGCTTGTGATAAACATTTTTTACAATTCAATTAATGTTCTTAATATATTATTTGTTGTTATCATTTTTAACTAAAGAAAAAAAAAGAGTATAACATGGACATGTAGAACACAACTACAAT